GCTCAGGCAATCCACTCACCTCAGCCTCCCAAAGGTGGGGGATTACAGGCTGAGCCACTGAGCCCGGCTAACATTAGTATTCTTATTCTCAGATACGTATGTAGCTATCACACATTTATTTTAACCCTTTGCACTTGGAGACATCTCACAGATCACCTACCAGCAACTTGACCACACTTTTCACAAAAAACAGATCACTTCATATTAAATAGTATAGTATTAGAACCAATTATCTTATTGTAATGATATTTGGTTTATATGGAAATTTTGGACATTGAGGAACTTATTTATGGCAAAAAAAATCAAAAGTTGGTATATTTTTCTGACATGTAGTAACATATGAAAGTCACCAACATGCATTGCAGACTGATACATGTTGTGCAATAGTAGTTTGACATCTTCCACTTGGTGTTTTTCTATTCAAGCAGACAACGCAGTCTCATTTTCTTCCTCCCACATTAGTAATAAATGTGTAATTTAGCCGGGAGTGGTGGTTCATACCTGTAATCCCAGCGCTTTGGAAGGTAGAAGCAAGAAGACTGCCTGAGCCTGGGGCTTCAAGACCAGCCTAGACAACTTGGCAAGACCTTGTCTCTACAATTCATCAAAAAAATTAGCCAGGCATGTTGGTACATGCCTATAGTTCCAGTTACTTGGAAGGCTGAGGCAGAAGGATCACCTGAGCCCAGCAGGTCAAGCCTGCAGTGGCTATGAGCATGCCACTGCACTCCAGTCTGGGCGACAGAGTGAGATAGCAATTCAAAAAAGAAAAAGTAATTTATTGTTCAATCTGTTATTCAAATAAGATGTGGAAAGATGCACTCATGCTTTCTAAAAACCACTTCTAAAATAATCAATCATATCTCAGTGTATATTCCATCTCTTTGCTTTTTTGTGCAATTTAAATGGAAAACTTCAAGGAAACATACATTTTTTTTAAACTTTGCACTGGCATAAATATGTCCTGTATAATCACCAGCAATCTTTTATGTCCCCTGAGAGGGGATATCTGAGTGGTTTGCTAGATTTACAACGTCCCCTCAGAGGGGACATCCGAGTGCAATCACCTATGTCTATGAGAACCAGGATTCTCTGTTTTCTCTCCCTGCTCCTACCCTCCCCTCCACCTCCCTGGGCCTCAACCGGACAGCCCAGAATTCTTATTGTAAAAGACAAAGATGTCATTGTGATAAGAATAAAATTCTGACCTCTGAATTTGAGATACCAGACCTGTAAATACGACGAGAACCCATGAGATCTTGTTTTCCACACACATCTCTTAGCTTAGTCTGTTGGCAAAGGCCTGTCTCCCTCTGTGACAGGGAGATCCCTAGTCCCAGTCTGTGGTCCGCAAACACCACTTCCCACCAGAAGAAACCAATTCCTAGAGAAATGACTGTCGTCAGATCTGAAGGGAAAGGTACAAGAGAGTCTGAAACATGTCAACATTCCAGATGGCAAAGACTCAGCACCATGTCTCTCAGGACAACTCCTGAACAAACTTGGAGACGCTTCCACTGGCCAAGAATAGCACAACCTAAACTGCAATAAAAATGGGAGTTGCAATGGATCAAAACCCACCAACTGTGTGTTAAATCCTTGTGTTTATAATGATAAAAAATAAAAAACAGAAATGCTAGTCACCTTCAGAGGATGACAGGCAGCTATTTCATTACCTTAAACTGGGTAAACAAAAGGAAACGCTCAAGCACTTACCCTGCTCCTACTCCATGAACCACCCTCCTAGGTAGCCAGGCAGGAGTGGAGGGGAAGCGTTTCCTCATAATAGGTGAGGAGGGCCCAAGAGACCTAGAGAACCATCTCACAACCCTGACGAATGAGCAGCTCTGGGCACGGGTGTGCCCAGTCAACATCCCAGGACACACAGCTCAGACCCTACATCCTCCTGATGAGAGAGCCTGACGGCATCCCGGCTCCACTGCAGGGACAGAGCCCACATCAGAAGCATCTCTGATCCCACCGCCAATGCACGGAGGCTCAGAGCACAGAGGAACATGCAGAGCCAAGAGGGTGCAGCCGGCATCCTCACATGGGAAATATCAATGTGAGGAAGATAAAGTGACAGGGGGGTGAGGCAACCTATAGATTTTTAAAGACCTAAAATTTTGGTTTCTTTCTGAATCAAGTTTAAAGGGAAAAAGCAGGCACAGAGAACCAGAGTGCCTTGGCTGTATAACTAGGGATCATCGGGTCCTTGAGTTTCTTTCTGGCTTCATCCTAAAGTCAGAACAGTAGTTACTCCTGAGGGGAGGTAAGGGGCTGTGATGTGGTGGGGCACATGGGGTGAGGCGGCTTCTTGGGTGCCTGGAAAGTCCTAGTTCTTGAGCTGGGTGATGGGCTACAAGATCTACCCTGGCGATAATTGTCAGCCATGTCAGAAATCGAGCAAACAAAAAACCTAATATCTTTAACCTTGCCCTCAAACTACAAGAATTTTGCTCTAATTGCCCTTCCAAGTGTTATGCTGCTGTGTTCAGAACTTTAGTTCTTTCTTGGTTTAACACTAAGTACCTAGTGTGGTACCAGCAAGCATCCAGGCCACAGCCCAGGTGAGTGCAGGCTCCTGCCAGGGAGCCAAGGCCTGGTGTCGCTTCTACTTGGGTCACTCCCAGCTCACACACCAGCGAGAGCCCTTGTCAGCCTCAGGAGCTTGTACTTCTTATTTCTGACCCACATAGAAATCCCCTTACTTACCTACAGCTCAGACGTGCATTTACAAAAAGATACTTGTTTGGGACTTCTTCCTGCTTTATATCCAGTGTTGTTACCTAAGATGTCCTGGGAGGATGTCTCTGGACCTCTGGGATGCCATATTGCCAAAAGCCCACCCTGGAGTCCCTCCTCTCCACACCAGGAGGGTGCTGCACAGAGGTCATGCTGGCATTTGGGCAGGCGAGCCCCTGCACTGATGCCAGGCCCCACACACTTCCAACAGCCTTGGTGGGAGTGGAAGAGAGTACTGTCCCATGGGGGTCACTACCGTGGTCCTGTCCCATAGCCCACCTCTGTACCAAGGCACAGGACAAGACTATCTAATGTACAGCAGACAGCAGCTGCTATGGTTGAGAGCAAAATGAAGATGAGAGAGGTCAGGCAGAGTGCAGGGAAAGGTCAGAGGCACTAGAGTGCTGCCTGTTCAAGCAACAAGACTTTTCCCTGGGAATAAGGGTTATATCCTAAAGTAAGACCTACCTAAAGCCAAGCTCAGCCAAGAAAGGCAGAGAATGCACATTGAGTCCTGCTAAGTCAGAGGAATGCCTTGAGCTTTCCACAAATCTTACTAACAATGTAGAAAGCAAAGCCTACACAAATTCAAGGTGATCTGCCAGTAACTAAACTGTCTGCTAAAATAAGAGTTAATACGCTAAAATAAGAGTAACAGAACCAAGTCTCTTCACATGTAATGCACAATATCCAGCACTCAAGCAACAATCACTAGACATACAAAAAACAAGAAAATGTGATCCATAGTAATAAAAAAAAAAAAAAAGCAGCTAAGAGAAATGGAATCTGAGACAGCCCAGGTGCTGGACTTGTCAAAAACTTTACAAAACAGTTTTAATAAATATGTTCAAAGAATCAGAGGAAAATATGGCCTCAATAAGTGAGCAGACAGGGAATTTCAGCAAAGAAGTATACACTATAAAAAAATGGAAATCTTGGAATTACAAAATACATCAACAAATAAAAACTTCACTAGGTGGACTTAACAGCCAACTGGAGATGGCAGAACTCCATCTGTCAAGAAACTTGAAGACCAGATCATTAGAAATTATCCAGACTGAAGAACAGAGGATAAAAAGACCTCAGAAAAAGAACACAGGCTCAAGACCTATAGGACAACATCATCAGGTCTAATACACATGTAACTGGAGCCCCAGAAGAAGAAAGTAAAAGAGAAATGGAAAAAACCTTTGAAGAAATCATGGCCAAAATGTTTCAAATTTGATTAAAAAAAAACAACAACCAAAAATACTGACCTACAGCTCTAAGATGCTCAGAAAACCTGAAACAGGCTGAACATCCAGAGACTCACACCTCAACACAACACCAAGTTTTAAAACATAAAGATTGAAGTCTCAAAACAGCCAGAAACTGTATTATGCACAGAAAGCAAGGACAAAAAGTATAGCAGGACTTGAGAAAACAGTGGAACAACATTTTGAAAGCTTTGAAAAAAAAAATTTTATAACCAGTGAAAATATAAATTTTATAACCTGAATTTTATAACCAGTGAAAATATCCTTCAAAAATGAGGGAGAAATACAACAAGTAAATACAAGTAAACAAAAGCTGAGAGGAGTCATCACATGTAGACCTGCACCACAAGAAATACTGAGGCTGCCCATCAAGTCAAGGGGAAGAGGTGGCAGATGGAAACGGCTCTACAGGAAGGAAGGGAGAAGACCAGGAATGGAAAGTAAGAAAGTAAATATGAAAGACCGTCTCTTCTTTCTTCCTATACTTTACTTAAAAAACAACTGACAGTTTAAAGCAAAAATAATATGTTATGGTAGAGTCTATAATTATATGAGTAAAAGATACAGCGACAAGCAAGACAGGAAACTAACACAATCCAGAAACAACCCATGACAGCTCCTGTCCTTCACTCTTTACTGTCTACTCTCCCAGGGGGCCGGCTTCACAGACACAGCTCAATGGGGACCCGGCCCTGCAGGGACAGTCCCCCAATAAGGCCATCCTCACAGTTGTGATTTCCCCACATCCTTTCCTAGTTGGTCTAAATCTTGTCCCAGTCATGGTAACCGGACTTCCTTATGAGAAGAACTTTTAGCTCATGTGATATCCACAAATAAGTTGATTTGAATGGAAAGTATCAAATGTAAAACAAGGGGTCCAAGGAAGGCGAGACCATATGCAAATGGTGAGACATGAGCTCTCGTGTCAGTCTACCAGAGAAGGGCGGCTCCATGGGCTGCCACAGTGCCCCAAGCCTTGGTCCCAGCACACTACTGTACCTCTGTGCCCGAGCCTGGGCCCACACAGTCCACTTTCCTCTTCTTCCGGGGCCCAATCGCTGCTAGCGCCGTGAGGTTGGCATCTCGCTGTCTCATCTGTGCCAGTTCTTGTTGCTGCATCTTTTATTTTGAAAGGGAAACAAGGAGATCATTCTTGCACTCTTTTTACTTACTACAGAAGCAACACATAGATATCAAAGGATTACCTACAAACTTTCTAAATTGTGATTTCTAATGTTTTGACTTTTTTAGCAGTAAGCATATTCTACAAGGGGAAGGCCCAAAAAAACTGTAATTATTTTTGGGCGTACAGGCTTCCCCCACTAGTTAAGTGTTCTAGGAACCTATCAGTACCAGTGTACCAGCTAACACTGTTGTGAGAGGCTGCATTGCAGAGGAAACCTCTCAAGTTGTGGCCAACAGGTGACTGGTTCTTCTACCCTGACAAAGCACCTACCCATACCACACTGAATATTCAGCATTTTTTTTTAACCAAAAACAGCATGACCCCAGTGCCCCACCCTCCCTTTTCAATTGATCTCACTCCAAACAACTTATTTTGTTTCCTCAGGTGAAAAAAGTTCTCAAAGGAAAATGTTTTGCCAGTGTGGAAGAGGTATAACAAAAAACAGCAGAAGCACTATAAGGTATCAAAACTGACAAGTTCAAAAACTGTTCTGAGCAGTCAAAAATGCATCTTGATAGGTATGTTGCAGACAACAGAGAGGACTTTGAAGGTGACTGAAGTTTAAACATGTAAGAATACCCAATTTTTTATAAATAAATTCCAGACTTTTTTGGTACTCCTTGTATAACCAGAAAAATAAGAAAATTTTAAAGCAATGGATGTTTATCTTAAAATGCTCCAAAAATATAAACAAGTCAAAAATATAAAGATGAATGCCACCCAAAAAGAAGTTACCACTAAGATTAAAAGAATACATGTAAACATGTCTTATATGATCTGACTTAAAATAATCATAAGAATAATAAAAGTAGAATACCAACTGTTTGCACAGGAAAATACCTTTGATGTAGTATTATTTAGACTTTGCAAATATTTTAAACAGTTACCGAAATGTCCACTATACAGAAAAATAACATGGTTTTCTTCATCTTCCTCACATAGACTCACCATGGTTGAATGTTTAGGTGAACGTACTTTCAAGTGTGCAGTGAAGATTCTATGACTAAAAAGCTTACCTCTTTTGCCTTCTGTTTCAACCTTAATTGTTCTGGATCTTCTTGTCTTGATCGAGACTATTTTTGAAAAACGTAGAAAAGAAAAATAAGTTATGGCCTAAACATTATCGTTTAGCAAACATGTTATCTTATTCATTATATAATAACATCTAGGTCATATCAAAGTGTATGAAATTTTTAAAATGCTTATAGCCAAAAGATGAAAATTTGGATTGCACATCATGAAAAAAAGCCATCACTATAAGAAAGTCAATACCAGCCAGGCTCGGTGGCTCAGCTTGTAATCTCGTGCTTTAGGAGGCTGAGGTGAGTGAATTGCCTGAGCCCATGGGTTAGAGACCCGCCTGGGCAACTTAGCGAGACCTCATCTCTACAATAAATCAAAAATTAGCTGGGCATGGTAGCGCACGCCTGTAGTTCCAGCTACTTGGAAGGCTGAGCAGAAGAATCACCAAAGCCCAGCAGGTCAAGTCTGCGGTGGCTGGGAGCAGCCACTGCACTCCAGCCTGGGCGACAGAGTAAGACTCCAACTTTAAAAAAAAAAAAAAAGAGAGAAAGAAAGTCAATACCATCTGGATGTGATGAGTAAGACGTGGTCTTTGGCTGGCTCTGTGGCTCAGCCTGTAATCCCGCGCTTTGGGAGGCCGAGGTGAGTGAATTGCCTGAGCCTGCAGGTTCAAAACACGTCTGGGCAACTTGGCGAGACCTTATCTCTAGCATAAATCAAAAAAATTAGCCAAGCGTGGTAGCACGTGCCCGTAGTTCCAGCTACTTGGAAGGCTGAGGTGGAAGGATCGCCAGAGGCCAGCAGGTCAAGGCTGCAGTGGCCAGGAGCGTACCACTGCACTCCAGTCTAGGTGACAGAATGAGACTCCAACTCAAAAAAAAAAAAAAATGGTCTTTGACACACGCCTACAAGTGTGGGCCTTGGACTTGACAGAAGGCCTCACAGGCCTCTAGCTCAGGTCCTGGTCCTGCCCCACAATCACTGGGGGAAGGGCCAGGCCCTCACCAGAGCACGTGGCCTTCCCACACTGCAGCAACTCTCTGTGGAATTCAAGTCCCCTGTCTATTACTAATGAGGCATGCCACACCGGCCTCTGAACACTCTTCCAGAATGAATGACAGTGTGAAAAGTCAGGTCTGGTGCGCGCAGGGCTCATTGCACACGCACTCTACACCCACAAGTATACCTTGAGGAGGAATGTGAGCTGCTAGGCGTCTTAAGAGGCTCCACCTTCCAGGTGTTTCCACTTAAGCAGCTGGAGCAGAAGGAATGAGGCCTCACTACAGCTCTGCTTATAAGTGCATCGCCTTTTCTCCAAGCCAGCCTGAAACACTACCTAGGCCTCCTGAATGTGGGTGAGTGCATCAGGTGAGGACAGGGAAAGACCCAGCACTCGCCTTGGCTGCCCGCATCAGAATCTCCCGCTCCTGCTCATCCTTCCTCTGCTTCTCAATCTGATCAAGCTGCTCGAAGAACTTGAGCTGAGCCCGGACATCACTCGCCTGCTCATATCTGTCATCGTCCTGCCAAAAAAGTAGAAATGCTGCTCGTCACGGATCTGGGCCAGCAAGCAAAGGTTTGCCTCGTACAGCTGGACAGTTTCGGCACGATGCACCCTGCAGGCCCATCCTGGCGCTGGCAAGGCCCCGGCCTCTGCTTCTCTCACCAGACAGGCTGTGCCCCTGAGAGCTTCACCCACTCCCTAGCAGAGAGAGAAGTCCCACACCAGAGTTCCCCTTTTATACACTTTAACATCGTCTGGTTGTCTTTAAAGCAACATTCAAATTTTTCTGTAGCAACAGACAGAACAACACAGAATGCTTTTGTCTAAGAGAGTTTGTTCTAGAAGTTGCCCTGTAAGCACTGACACCTGGCCAAGGGAGCATCTCCTGTCACGCAGTCTGGGCCACCCCTAGGTGTTCCCTGGTGTCTCAGAGCAGTATCACCTGACTGCTGAAGTGGAAAACTTCCTTCCTGAGGACAGGGTTGCCACCACCTCATGTCTACAGGTCCTGCCTGTGGCCAGGGAAGAGGCCAGCACCCACATGGGCTGAAACTCCGGAAGTGGATCATTTCCAGAGTTTAGCAGGTCCCCCATAGGTCCCTCCAGGGCACCTCCCACAGACGCCTGGCCCTCCTCCCCAGCCCAGACTCACACAGCACTCTAGAACACCATGTGACTAAAATAAAGAAAATCTTCCCAAAATCCGCTCCTACAAAAAATTTGAAAGTTCTCAAAGGACACGGGGGCACTTGGGACCCCTCCACTCTCTATCTGGGCATGGGGAGGGCTTCGGGACAGGAGCAGATTGGAAGTCAACAAGAGAAAGATATACTCAGAAAAACAGCCCATACCTTATACGAGAAGTTCTTTTGCTGAGCCGTTTCTGATATTTTTTCTACAAGATTCTGTAACCTTTGCTGCGTGGCGTGTGATACATAACTTACTACATCTGGGTGTAACTCCGTTATGCCATGCTTTTTACCTGAAAGTTGGGTAATAAAGAGAGTATTCTGAAATCATCTGGACGTTTTTTCTTCCTCCCCACTGGTGGTGTGCACACTGCAGCTGCACCAGAACCGCAGCAGCAGCCACATGGACCACACCCCAGGCAGGAGACCCACGAAGCACGTGCGCTCTGACAGTGTAACTGCCACAGGTCGAGTATCAAAGTCACGGCACCCGCTAAACCCAAACGTGGACACCAAAAATCCCAGCGACAGTGACTTAGTGAGAATTCACCTATTTCTAATATTCTTCTTTGTAAAGGCGCAGGGAGGAGGAAGGTCTCATCCTTACAGGACCGGGTCAGCGTGCCTACTAATTCAGAGTTCGTGGCTAATATTCTTGCACTTTCTTCCGAGAGGTTCACTCCAGCCATCGATGCAACATCATTAATGTCGTCATCATCCCTTGAGAAAAGAAGAAAAGCTTGTTATAACTGTATAAGGAATTCACCAGGAGGAGGGCCGAGGGGTTGTGACTCAGTGAGCAACAGCGTGGGAGCAGGAAACCCTGTGAAGAAGGCACAGCTAGCACCTGCATCCCTGCATCCTGCCACGGGACGAAGCGGCCTGACTGCCTTATCTGAAAGCTCACTGTTCTGTTAAAGGAAAAACTATGATTAACGGTGAAATGCATCCACACAGATGCACAGGGGACTCGAGAGCAGCAATACCAAGTCCAGAGAAAAGCACACCAGGAACGCTGCATGCTGCTTTAAGGAGTATGTTCCATGTGAAACTTTAAAAAAAAAAAAAAAAAATCACACCAGTATTGATTTCTTTCTAAAACAATCACAGACTCCCAGAAAAGCTGGAGGAAGAATACAAAGAACTTTCTCCTGAAGCCCTGAGAGTGAGCTGCTGACCTGTCCATGGGCACTTCCCACAGATACAGGCATCCCCACTGGGACCGGGCACCCTTGAAACCAGGCCACCAACAGCGGCCCCTAGCCTGCAGCCACTCCTCAGCCTTCCCAAGCTGGCTACGTCTCCCAGCAGCATCCTGCCCAGAGAGGTTCACATCCAAATCACGGGCCACGTGTCACTGTCACGCCTCTTCAGTCTCCATCAGGCTGGAACGTTCCTCAGCCTCTCCTGATTCCGGTGCCTTCGACACGTGGAAGGTACAAGCCAGTGCATGCAGAACGTCCTCTTCTAGTCTGAATGCTGTCCCTCATTAGGAGATGTGGGCCACACAACCCTGCCAGGAATCCCACACCAATCACAAGTCCTCTGTGGGGCCTTCTCCCAGCTGTGGGCTCTTTACCAACATGCACGCTGAGAGTTGGACTCGGGGACCTGCCTGGCATCTCCTCCATGTCAGGTGTGTCTTGTGTCTTGTGGTGCTTTAAGTGGTCCTCACACGCAATCCTCCTATGGGCTCCATGTGCTCAGTGAAGGGCATCGCACAGGAGTCCCTGGCGGCCACAGGCTGTGACTTCACTGTACAGCTTGGAGCTCAGGCTGCCGGACTCAACAAGGGAGGGAGATCATTCCGCCAACTCTGCACCCTCAGTCTCTGAGCACTGCTCTCTGCCATGACAGGACAGCCTCAAACATCTTGTACTTTCCTTGACCCAGTCCTGAAATCCACCTTTTCTCTAAGGAGGCCGTGTCATTTTAGTGGAAATGGCTTCCAGAAGACAAGATCTGAGCACTAGGGGCGCTGCTGCCACTGGGTGCTGCACCCAGGCTCTTCCAGGGATGAGGCTGGAAGCTGTCTTCTAGTTACAGTTATTCTAATCCAATGGAACGCAGATTCACGCACTGGTGTCAATGTGCACAATTCTCACCCAACACCAAAGGGCATTCTAATTGATTCCTCTTGCCATCTTTCTGACTCCCCACCTTGACAGCAGGACAACAGGGCTTCCGGCAGCCTTAAATGATTTACTTCTTGACCTGTGTATGTATCTAATTGCTCTCCCCACCCACCTCGGGCATCAACCCCACACACGCAGGCCTAGCCTCCTCTTCCTTCCTGAACTCTGACCCAACTCAGGCCACTGCTCCCCAAGCACCTGCTCTGCCCACCTGTGGCTTCAGGAGTGAGGCGTCTGGGAAACACAGACCCACGAGAAATTTTCCTGACACAACACTTCCCTGCTGCTTGACAACAGAGGTCACCCACAGCCCTTCCCCTCTCTCAGATCCCATGAACCCTTCCCTGCCTGACAGGGATGCTGGGACCGTCCCAAAACCAAAGCAAAACACAGTACTTCTGAAGGCACTGGGGCAAGAGAAACAGTCTAGGTTATGAACATGGGTAACTTGAACCACTACATGCCATGTCACAAAAGGGAACTCCTATCCGTTCATACAAAAACCGGCTGATCCACCTTCCCGCTGCCTGCGTGAAGCCCTCCGAGCTCCTCCAATCATGGATAAACGCACACGTACAGGAATGCAAGGTCACAGTGCATATGAAGGGTGGTCTCAAAGGTACCAGCCGCCAGGCGCCGCATGGCCAGCCCCCAGCCAGGAGGGGAGAGCTGGCCTCTCCTCTGCAGCCACGCTTCTCCACCGCACACAGGTCACTCCTTACCGAAACGAACCTCCCCCAGGCTCCTTGAGTTTATTTTTCTGTGCAGCAGCTGCTTGTGCCGAGACAGTAGAAAGGGCTTTGGTTCCAGGTAACACGGCGGGTTTCACCACAGGGACTACAAAACAAAGACACACAGTGGAAACCACACAAGGCTTTTATTAGATCAACTACATGCTCTGGTACCTTATGGGCCCACGGGAACAGCACCCACTCTCCCACCTGGCTCCAGTAAAGTTTCCAAGAACTTCGGGTTGATAACTCTCAATTATAGTTCAAAGGATAAGCTGCATCTCACCAGCATTTATTTTCCTATAATTTGTCAAACTTTTTAAGGTACAGGAATGATTACTGATAAAGAAACTAATGGTAATATACATATATCATCCTTAAACTCAGACCGACAGTTGTGATGGCCGAAAAACACCCTAAGCATACTTAATACCACTGACTTATATCCTTAAAATGGTTAAAACAGCAAGTTTTGTTATGTATGTTTTACAACAAATAAAAGAAAATAAAGTAAAATCCTAATGATGGCCGGCTCTGGGACAAGGCCTGGTTCTGGAGTGGCAGGGGCCCCACAAGGCCCCTCACCTGGCTGCAGCTGGTTCAGCTGGATCTGCTGAGGCGTGGTGAGCATGATCCGGTTGTGAGGCTGCCGCAGTGCGACCATGGGCGTCTGCGTCAACGTCACCTGCGGGGGCCGGATCAGGGCTCCTGGCTTCGGAGGCTGCTGGATCACCTGAGGCAGAGCCAGCAGAGAACGGTGAGCCCTCCCGGAGGGCCGGAAGCCATCTGGGCCCCTTGCTGGAGGCTGTTCCCTTCCCTTCACTTGCACCCCCAACCCAACAAGATGCACCAGGAGGACCCCACAAATGTCTCGGACCCAGAGTACCCCAGGTCAGCGCTCTGTGCCTGGCCACAGCAGACCAGGGCAAGCAGCAGGGTGGCACCTATGGCAGGTACAGTATGGGCAATTGCCTGGAAGCTGCCTGGGAACCTGGTCACACACAGTTTGCTGGGTTCAGCACCCACAAAGGAACAGAGGCTTCCCAGATATCAGCAGAAGTGACACTGCTGCCCAGTGGCCACAGGCCAAGTGTCTTTTTCTCTTCTGAATGTTCTAATAGAAGGCTGGATGGCTTTCCTACTGGAGTGGAGTTACATTTCCCAAGCCCTGCCCTGAACTTGGCCCTCAAGGGCCTCTGACCACTGCCCCAAGCATGGCCTGCTGCCCTCAGCTCATGCTAGGAATGCGCCAAGCCTCCCCAATGCCACGGGCTGCCCAACCTCGCTACCATCCTACTGTTCACTCCCACCCTCTGCACAACAGGGCTCCAGGCGCTGGCAGCACTGACCATGCCTGTGCTCTAGGCCCCAGCCCCAGGATGCCAGACCCAAGGACACTCGCAACCCTGTCAAAAGCCACATGTTCCGGTCCACATGGCCTGGCCCCAAATCTCTGGGGCCAGATGTTTAGAGTTCAATTTCTGCCTTTTACAAAGGTGCCCTGGCAGGCATACCCTATGTTATGGAAGGAACACTTACAGGGGCTGTGATGAGGCCAGCTCTGCCACAAAACACAAATACCCACACTGGATAGGACGAGCCTCTGGCAGCTCAGGCCAGGCGCTGCCACAAAGAAAGGCTGCAGAAACTCAGGGAACGCCCCATTCCCACACCTTTAGAGCCTCGGGGGGGCAGGGGAGAGGTCAGATCCATGGGCCTAGCTAGATGCATTCTGCAGACTCCACACACATGGTCCAACAGAATCCAGAGATGCAGGAGGCAGAAAGAACCTTGCTGCTGAATATAGCATCTGTTCACAAAAGTACCAGTGACGCAGCTTGTGTGACCAAGTGCCAGGTCAACACCTTGTAAAAACAATGAATGCCCTAAGGTCTGGTGCAGCTGAATTCACCTTTCAGGTGAAGTGGCCCCACCATGTACTGGCCAGGGAGGCTTTGGGCAAGTGAACAGTGAAGCCAAGGGTATGGTAAGTCTCACCCTCCATGCCAAAGGAAGCCCAACTAGATGCTGCCCACCACTCTCTGACTCAGTGAGGGACATCCTCCCTGTGCACTGTTCCACCCTGCCCTCCTCACTACTCATCAAGGCAAAATAAATGCAAATTGTAATGGAGCCCAGGATTGAGTTCCCACGGGATTCTCCACCACTTAGTTGGTCCTTGTGCCCTACTGTAAAATTCACAGCCTATAATGAAGAGTCAGGGCCTCAACAGTTTTTCTTAATCCATCTTTAGAGGAACAACCCCCCTTGACTTTGGTTTAAACTGCCCTTCTGTTTGGGGAACCCACTCTACCTGTGGGACTGTGCAGCACAGCATCCTTCCTCCAGCTGAGGACGCAACATGTGACTATACTGAGACGGTCACAGGGAACCTCACTAGCAGTCTGGGGCTCCCACCCTGGGACTCACCTAGACCCACATGACTGCAGCTGTCCTGTGCCGTGACCAGGGCTGCTCCAGCCTCCTGCCTAACTGTCCAGTGCCAGGCACGGGCGCCTGTCCTTAGGCCTGGGCTGTGGCTCCTATCGAAGAGAACACCTGCCTACAGACTTCACTGGGCCGCACAGCAGCATCGAAATGGCAACACCCAGATACGGCAGGCGGGGAGTACACTGGGACCAAGCAGTCGCACACTTCACTTTACTGAGAAACAAAGGACACATTCCAGGACCTCAACCTACAGTTTACACTGTAACTATTTAAGGCAACACCCAAGCTTCTCCCAGCAATTTTCCTGCATGCTCGAAAAGCTTCTCCAAGCCATGGCGGCGCAGTAGGTGGTGGGGACGGGCAAGACGTGCCCTTCCATACCAGCGGTGTGGGCTGCCCCTGTTTGCCAACGCCAACCTGCGTGGGCTGTGTGAGGCTGAGCACAGGGGGCTGGAGGGCACTGGTCACGGTAGCCGCCGTCTTCCCAGCCGTGCGCTGGACCGAGCCGCTCAGCACCACAGCTGTGAGCGCGGTGGTGGCCTGTGAGGCAGGCGGCGGCTGCTGCTGGCTCTGCTGGATGAAGGCCGCTGAGTCGGGGGTCAGTTGTCTCAAGGCGGGTAAGCTCCTCTGGGTGTAAAGACAGACACAGGGTCAGGGAGCAACTCGCAAGGTAGTGTCCTTACTTAGAAATAGCACAATTTTAGAAAAGGCTCTCAGCTACACACAACAGGCCCCAGACCCTCACGGGACACCTCTGGGCACTGGCACCCACGTGCTCCGTCACTCATATCCTCCTGCCAAGAAGGGTGATTCTTGGTAGGAATTGTTCAAAATGTGTCTTTCAAAAACAAACTCCTAAATGCCCTATTATAAATGTTTTTTAAAACGGATGACATAATGGAGATAGAGAATGACAGATCCCAGGGCTGGGAAGAGCCCATGGGTGGGGGCAGACAGAGGCTGACTGGTGGGTAGAGACATGCAGCCAGCAGGAGGACCAAATCCTGAGGTGTGACAGCAGAAGGAAGGACTGGAGCTAACAGCAATGGACAGTCTATTTCAAAACAGCCAAAAGAGAGGACCTGAAGTGCTCCCCACACAACAATATCAGTGCTGGAGGCAAGGACACCCCAAATGCCCTTTTGGATCATCACACATCCTGTACAATTTGATTTGTACATCAAAGTATACAAATAGGTATCGACTTTTAAGATGTGCGAGACCAGTGATTCCACGAGGAACACCCTGACGCTGCTGAGACCCTTGGTCCTCTCCTGTAGGTAAGCACCGCCCATCCCCTCTTAAGAAAATAGATCCTTCTCAAGCCTCAAGACCCACACAGCCGGGACAGGGCTCCCACTTTACAGAAAAGCCTCCTCTGAACAGAAACCCTAGACCCTGTTCAAGCCCTTGAGCCCCAGGCAGGTGGCACAGGCAGCGCACACACCTGGAGCATCTACACAGCCTCCCTCCCCATCCTGGCCTGCTTGCAGGCACCGGAACCTTCCAAATTACCTTCAGGAAAGGCACAAGATAAGGTTGAGGTGAAGAATTAAGTTCTCGGTATAACCTGCTAGTGAAGTCTTCTGCTTCGATTTTTCCATCCTTAAAAATAAAATGCACATTGAAGTTGTGCAGTGAGTGAAATCTCAAACACGCCTCTTAGCTCCACTCCAGTCTCATACTGCATGGCTGGCTTTGCCCCACACTCCTCAACAGAGGAGTCAGGAAGTCCATGTGCGTGCACTTCACCAGACACAAGCCTCCTGGGTATATGCATGGCAGGCGTCACCCTGGTCACCCTGTGCTACTAGCTGCTGACCACATCCCCACCGGGGCAGGTTGCTCAGCCATGTCTCGTTCTCACTCAGTGACAGTTTTCACTCAACTTTTACCACACACCTCCCCAGTGGCAGGCATTTGCTAGTGTGTAAGAGGAACTCCACTTCAAGCCCGAAGTCCAGAGTGCTGGGGCCAACGCAGGGGGACTGGGCCCAAGGGGATGCTGGCACCTTTCAGGAGGAGACACCTGCAGGGGCCAGAGGGCTGGGAGTCCGCAGAGGCAGGAAAGAGAGCCCAGGTCAAGGCGCACGGCTCTGCTCCAGAACAGAGGGCAGCATGGTGTCTGGACTAGACCCTGGGAGAAACAGGGATACAGGGCCACACAGTCGGAAAAGGGCATGGAGAGAACAGTGGCTCCATACCACTGGGCTGTCCTGCTGAGTGCCAGCAGACCCCTGGGTCACAAAATGGCTGTGGGGTGAAGAAGGGCAGATAGCCAAGAGCTCGACCATGGGCAGAGACCATGGGGTCCAGGACCTGGGCTCACAGGGAGGAGAGGCCACCAGGAAAGCTCCTGACATCTGGTCTGGGGAAAGAGTGCTGTTCACTAGACAAAGAAAGACAGGGAGGAGGTTGTCTCTGCTAGTGGAGGACAGATATGTCATGGCCAGTCGGCACCATGGGGAAGGAGTCGTCCTCAATAAGGACAGAGCCAGGCCTCCAGGGGCTCGGAATGCAGAACACCTGTTCAGACAGGATGCTCACAAGGGGAAAGGCAAGCCTGTGCCCGGCTTGAGCCACTCTTGTTTGTAGTGACCTAACTGGTGGCTGAGTCCAATTCTAGCTGATGCTGAAGACACAGGGAGTAGCCAGCAGTATTCAGTGTCACAGAGGAAAGGCCAGAGGGAGCTACCAGGGGCCCTGACCAGATCCAGCACAATGGAAGCAGCAAAGGGAGGGACTACTCACACGGGACCGTTGTGTCCCTCAACAGCAGGGTACAGTGTGTGTAGAATCACCCCTGCACACATCCTGTGACCTGGGCCTCTCTGGACTGACCCCAGGTGTGTGTGCTAGTAACGGAGGCACACAGGGGGAATGTGGCCTCCAATCCTGCCTGGGCCGACATACTCTACCCACAAAAGACAGACAACACAGACCCCAAAGGGCCAGGGGAGGCCTAACACCCAGGCTTCCTACACAGAGAAATCAGGAGGGAAGAGAGCACAGAGGAAGTCGTTGGTCAGGAGAGCCAGACAAGTTGACTGAAACACACAGGCTTCTTTTGAATCCTGACTGGACAAGTTGTGAAAATAACACTCTCAGGATGCTGCTAGGGAAGTGTGACCCAGCTGGCTGGAACACTACACAGGGATGCTCAGGGCATCAGGCATGCTCCTGGCGCCGCAGCTGTGTTGTAAGAAGCGCCCTCACCTTTAGAGACCTGCACTGAAACAGCTACATAGCCAGAGAGAGGTGTGGGGGAATGGGCAGGACACAGCAGACATGAACTGCTGCCTACAGACTGAGCATCAGTAAGATGAGGAGACAGGTACATGGGGGTTCAGTATACTCTTCTCTTACTTCTTTTAAGTCCCTTTGAAAACAGGTAACGCAAGTAGGGGAAGGGAAAAGAGAAAGCAAACACCTCCAAAAAACTGTCTATTAGTGTATTTAAAAACTGTTTCTATGAGGCATCACATAACTTCAGATGACAATCAACTGCTACAGAAGAGTAGATTCCAGACCAGGCGCGATGGCTCATGCCTATAATCCCAGCACTTTGGGAGGCCAAGACAGGAGGATTCCTTAAGCCCAGAAGTTTGAGACCAGACTGGGCAATACACAGAGACCTCATCTCTAAAAACATAATAATAAAATTTTTTAAATCCCAGCTATTCAGGAGGATCACCTAAGCCCAGGAAGTGGAGGCTGTAGTGTGCCATGATCATACCACTGCACTCCAGCCTGGGCAACAAAGTGAGACCCCCAAGAGGGAGGATGATAGATGAGAGGTAGGGAGGGAGGGAAGGGGGAAGGGAAAGAAAGGAAAATAAAAGAAAAGTTAAGAAAAGAAAAGAAGATTTCAGTCCAGACCTGGTGGTTCATGCCTGTAATCCCGACACTTTGGGATGCTGAGGCAAGAGGACTGCTTGAGAGTTTGTTGTGTCTCTAAGCTGTCTCTACGAAAAAATTATTTAAAAATTAGCCAGGCTGGGTTCAGTGGCTCAGCCTACAATTCCAGTACTTTGGGAGGTTGAGGTAACCCACGGGTTTATGACCCACCCAAGCAACTTGGCGAGACCTCATCTCTATAATAAATCAAAAATCAGCCGGACGTGGTAGCGCACATCTGTAGTTCCAGTTACTTGGAAGGCTGAGGCAGAAGGATCACCAAAGCCCAAGTAGGTTGAGGCAATGGTGGCCAGGAGTGTGCCGCTGTACTCCAGCCTGGGCGACAGAGAGAGACTCCAACTCAAAAAAATAAAAATAAATAAAAAATAAATAAAATAATTAAATAAAAATTAGCCAGGTGTGGTGGTGCACACCTGTAGTCCCAGCTACTTGGAGGCTAAGACAGGAGGATTGCTTGAGCCCAGGAGTTTGAGCTATGAGCAGTGAGCTATGATTGCACCACTGCATTCCAGCCTGAGTGACAGAGCAAGACTCTGTCAAAAAATAAAAAGAGAAAAGTAGATAAAGTAAAAACCCTTAAGACATCAGGCACACTTTCTTTGTGAAAAGCATAAGCCATCAGAAAACAGAAAAGCGCCTGGTGCTGCCCTTCATGCAGCAGGACTCAGGGCAGGGGCCACAGCGCAGCCTCTTGGCAAAGCCTCCAGAACACTTGAGCCCAGGAAAGAGGGTCATGCACACCTCTTCCCCTACCTATAACCTTCCACAGGCATTTGCCACTGACACACGCCTCCTGGACACAGGTCCCAGCAGAGATCTGAGGCAAAAGGAATTTAATGTAAAAGTTTTCTTACCAGTAAGTTCTGTACTAGCTCTTTCACATTAGCTGCTGTCTCTGTAGACTGTTTGCCAGAGGAAGCCAATTTTATTAATGTAGATAGAAAATTTTTACATTTCTTCACGTTTTCCATAGTTTCCTGGATTAAAGTAAAAAGATGAAAATGAAAAAGTCTTAAGAAGCAAGATTTTCATCATAGTGTTTGGCTTAACATGTGGGTATGTATCAAAGACACGTGTATTTCTTCCCTAAACTGCAAAGGAAATGTGCTAACTCACAGCTTGCCAGGGGCAGGCAAGCTAAGCTACTCTGAAGGACACCCAGCCAATGGACATGGGATGCCAAGCGCACATCTCACTCAGCCCAGCACACCTACCTCCAGGAGTGCAACTAGTGTTAACCAATAAGATGAAAACGGTGAATCTACAAAGATGTTCATCATGGCGTTGTTTATCATGAAGACAAACAGATGCCTGTCCAAATGCACATGAAAGAAACCAAGTTATGACGCAGCTATTAAAAAGGATGACTGACACTTAGCAAAGAAGCACAGAGGAGGCAGGCATAAAGCACAGCCTCATTCTGGGTAAAGATGTGAACATGTACAGGAACACTACCGGAAGTGTAAATACAAACGGTGACACTGCTGCCTTACAGACTGAACACGTGCAGTCCACGTGTGGTTTTCCAAATGAGCAACTTGGATGGATTTAGAGCCTATCATACTCAGTGATCTATCACAGAAACAAAGAACTGAGTACCACAAGTTCTCACTCATAACTGAACCCTGAACAATTATCATAATACTATAAGAAAGGGATTGGAAGTAGTGGAAAACTGGTGGGAGAGGGGCGGGTATACTTTATCAATAAGGGTACCTGATCTCAAACCAGGCAAAGTGGGGACCAAAGGGAAGCCAAACTTTACCTGTACAATTACCATTTGTATATCTAATCCTGAATTGTACCCCACATCCTTAAAATTAAAAAATAAAAATAAAACAACTGCCATCATTGGCTCTTGCCACCCATACTTTTACACAGTCTGAGGTCCTCGAACAGGAAGAACCAGGCCCTTCCTGCCACCCCTCCTCAGTCAATGCCCTCAGGGCCAACAACACATGGGAATGGCAGACCTCACGCATTCATGAGGGCCCCACACAGTCACCCTACTCTCTGCAAAGTAGACAGAAGTCTAGAACAGAAGCCGGCCCAGGGCAGCTTTCAAGCTGCATTTTCGGATGAGGGCATGATGGGCCCAGCCAGCTCTGAAGGTGCGGAGAGAAGCAGCTTTGAGGTTGCATTTTCTGATGAAGGTATGACGGACCCAGCCAGCTCTGAGGGTGCTGAGAGGAGCAGCTCTTACCGTGGCAGCTGTGGAGGTGGTGGTCGCCCCTGGGACCGTACGCTGAGGAGTCCCCGTCTGAACAGCTGTCGCCGTCCCGAGGGAAGCCGTCTGGGCAGCACCACCCAGAACAAGCTGAGGCTACAAGAGTCCAGAACACAAGGTAAATGCATCTCAGGTCAACCCATGGGCTAAGTAGAGACCGACCTCCCATCCAGCAAACGAAAATAAGCCTTCCTACAGAAGCAGGGAACCCAAACAGCTGTCTGCCAGCACTCTGGATGAGTGAGTGCCGGTGGGACACCTGCCAGAGCCACCTAAGATAACCTGTAGCACCCACGGACCGACCCAAACCTGAGGACTGTTAAGACTGCACACCTGAGGAAATCACGTCTTATACCTGCATTAAAAGTTGACAGACATAAAGCCACACACCAGAAAGACCCTGGCTTTCAGAAGTTGATGGTAACCAGCACCTATGTCCTCATAATCAAATCAGATCCCCACCTCTCGGAAATCAAAACACAAAACGGAGAACCACACCTGAACACTCGAGAGGTGAATACCAATCCACCCACGGGGGCTGCACTACAGCTGAAGGGTCAACCCAAACAGAAGGGTCTCTGCCCCCAGCCACCCTCACCAACCTTCCTTTACTACCCAAAAGTGAGTCTCAACAAGAAGTCTCATGAAAAGAGGGCGTTTTCCAACTGATCTGAGGACTCGGCATGGGCCATCTGTGTCAGTGCAACTGTCCATGGGGACGTATCACTTTGTTAAGCAAATGGACAGCCAGATACCAAACAGCTCAGCAATTCAAAGACTGGCCCTCAGTCAAATTCCAAACACATTTAGTTTACATAAATCATCAGAATACAAATGTGCGCTATTTTTTAAATGAGTACTTTTCCAATTTATAAATCCAACCATCCACACTTTCTCCCTCCAACTGTCTAGCGCTGACTTTTTGCAACTTCTGAATGTAGGGGGCAGTGTGGCAGGAGTATGACTCCCAGCAGCACTGTGTGCTCTGGCTGCAAGTTGAAAGCTTCCAGGTCTCAGGAAGTCCCAAAGCACAACCTAGGCTGCCAATGCAGTTGCAGGGTAGGGGCTGTGAAGTGGGGGAGGCCAAGGGGGAAGTCATTTCTTTCACTTGTGACAACGAGCATGTATTATCTGTGTAACTGGAAGACATCAAACACAAAACATCTGATGAAGAAAACAAAGGAGAACAAGCCCAGCAGCCACTCCTGAGCCACAGTCTCTGGCACTATCCCCCTCCCCACCACAGGTACCCTGCACATGTGATGTGTTCCTCCTTCTATGGAGCCCTGAACGCACATTCCACCCACATGACATGGAGATTGTGTCTTCCACTAAATCGGATACAAAAGCAGCCATGGACTTCAGCACCCTCTCAGAAAAATCACTGTAAGCTGAAAACACAGACGCAACAGTCAGATGGAGCACGAGTGGAGTGAGTGCCTTTTGGGCATTTCTGGCCTTGACCAGTGCTTATGCACTTGGGACTAAACTGCTCTCCCACCTGATTTCACCCAGTGCCACCACCAAAAGTCAATCAAGATGTGATCCAGTGAGGGTGGAAACAGCTAGGTCCGAGAAGTGCCCCCAGAGTCCTCTAAGCCCACTCAACCTCAGATTCCTCATTGGGAAATGGGAGCAGGGCCTACCCTGCTGCACAGCAGCGAAAATTCCAGGTCAGCGACACATGAGAGAAACTGCCTGGCGCACAGTAGCTGCTTAATCAAAAGTGACCAACTCAGGGAAACTCACAGGGTCTCTCACAAACACCAAAGGAAAAGTCTTTGAACCATATTAGTCCTAGCTGCTCCCATCTGACTGCCCAGAGAAAGCTGCTTCCCTAATGAGGCATCCTTTCCCCAACCAGGAGTCCTTCCCCATCCAGGTGTCCCTTCCCCGGCCAGGTGTCCCTTCCCCAACCAGGTATCCCTTCCCCAACCAGGTGTCCCTTCCCTGGCCAGGTATCCCTTCCCTAACCAATTTTCCTTCCCCTAACCAAATGTCCCTTCCCCGGCCAGGTGTCCCTTCCCTAACCAGTGTTCTTCCCCAGTCAGGTGTCCCTTCCCCGGTCAGGTGTTTCTTCCCTGGCCAGGTATCCTTCCCCTAGCCAGGTCTCCCTCCCCTAGCCAACTGTCCTTTCCCTGGCCAGTCTCCCTTCCCCAGACAGCCCCTTTCCCTCCATGCACCTCCATTGCCTTCTCTGTAACAGTGGAGCCAACTTCACCAGTGCACAAGCTCTCCTCCCTGGCCTTGTCAGCCAGAGGCTGAGCTGCCACGAACAGTAGCACACACCAGGAAAGAAGCCAAGAACTGCTCCAGAACACTCTCCCCTCCTGCAGCTTAAAACATGATTTTAAAAACAATGCAAGCTGGGCTCGATGGCTCAGCCTGTAATCCCGCGCCTTTGGGAGGCTGAGGTGAGTGGAATGCCTGAGCTCGCAGGTTCGAGACCCACCTGGGCAACTTGGCAAAACCTCATCTCTACAATAAATAAAAATGAGCCGGGTGTGGTAGCACGCGCTTGTAGTTTTAGCTACTTGGAAGGCTGAGGCGGAAGGATTGCCAGAGCCCAGCAGGCGAGGCTGCGGTGGCCGGAAATAGCTACTGCACTCCAGTCCAGGCGACAGAGTGAGAGTCCAACTCAAAAAAAAAAAACAATGCACCAGAGCAGATGCAGAACATTGCTAAAACTACCCTTTAGCTACAGGTAAGAGACACAGCTGCAAGAGGCAGCATGGTGGTCACTGTGCAGATAACAAGACCAGGAGCAAGTTCCAGAACTCCCCACACCTCATCTTTAAGTGCCTTCTCAGTAAGTGCCTCCTCAGTGAGATGAGTTGAGCAATGGTACCTGCTTCACGAGGGCATCATGGGAACTAGACAAGTCAGTGCAGAGAGCAGCAAGCATGATGTCTTAGACGTACCCCGATCATACAACAGTGCTGACATCATCAGCACATGACACAACAGTGCTGATATCAGGAGAACGTGACACACACGGCACACAAGGAAGCACCAGCATCGTGAGCACACGGCACACATGGAAGCAATGGTGTCGTGAGCACACGGCACACACAACAGAGCTGGCGTCATGAGCACATGACACACATGGAAGTGCCAGCATCATGAGCACATGGCACACACGGCAGTACCAGAGTCCTGTTCACACACAGCGCCGCATATGCACAGACACAAGTTACTCTTCCAATGGGCCTTTACTGTTTCAGGGATGCCATACAATTGAATACTGACAAGGTAGTCTTCTAAATTATACTTCTGGTATGGTGGGAAGCCTCCAGAAGTACTGCTGATATTAAATGCTGTGCAGCTTTAAGGCAAAGGGAACCCTGATCTGTCCTGTGTTGGGTCAGAGTAAAAGTACTTTCTTCATAGTCTTCCTCACACAACTCAGCTTAGTATCCAATACAAACTCCTAAGGTCTGACCTCTGCATCAAAGAAAGCCATGCCCTGCGGCTCCTATAGCCTCAGTGGGTGCCCGGCACTGGCTCTCTCACCTGGACGCCGGGAGACCGCTGTAGTGTTGTGGTGGGCTGTACCGTCGTCTGGGCCTGAGACACTTGCTTAATTATGGTAGTTGGGGTCACCTGCCGTGCAATAATAGGCGTCCCAGGTGCCTGAAAAATAAGTAGAAAGTCATCTGAAATGAGCCACAGGTAAAAGGAAGCCCCATCCACCCACCCACTGAACACAAATATCAATCCTTAAACATATAGTGGACACAGGCAGGCCTGCACAATCGTTCACCATGTTCAATGAAGCCACCGTAATTCTAAAGTTTTCTTCCTCAGGATAATTTGTAAGATCGAAATTTTTCCATATACCATAATAAAAACATCATTAGACTTCACCAAGTCTACAACAGATTTTTTTTTTTTTTTTGAGTCGAGGTCTCACTCTTGTCACCCAGGCTGGAGTGCAGTGGTACAATGACAGTTCAATGAAGCCTCAACCTCCTGGACTCAGGCAATTCTCCTGCCTTGGCCTCCTGATTAGCTGGTACTGCAGGTACGCAACACCAACCCTGGTCAATTTTTTTATTTTTTGTAGCAGCAAGGTCTCACTTTGTTGCCCAGGCTGGTCTCGAACTCCTAGTCTCAAGCAATCCTCTGGTCTCAGCCTCCCAAAGTGCTTGGATTACAGGCATGAGCCACCATGCTCAGCTGGCAACAGATGATTTTTAAAGAACACAGGTGGCCGGGCGCAGTGGCTCACGCCTATAATCCCAGCAATTTTGGGAGGCCAAGGTGCGAAGACTGCCTGAGCCCATGGGTTCGAGACCAGCCAGGGCAACTTGGCGAGCCCTCACATCGACAATAAATAAAAAAATTAGCTGGGCATGGTGACACACGCCTGTAGTTCCAGTTACTTGGAAGGCTGAGGTCACCTAAGCCCAGCAGGTCAAGACTGTGGTGGCAATGATCATGCCACTGCACTCCAGCCTGGGCAACAGAGTGAGACTCCAATTCAAAAAATAAAAATAAATAAATAAAAAGGTTGGGGGAGGATGTGGCATTTATTGGGCAAGATGTCTGAGGTATTACAAAGAGTGAAATGGCAAGGGGCAGGGCCAGATATGAAGTCATATCTTAGTTGTGTAAAAGAAAAAAAAAAAGAACACAGGTATCTGGAAATCAGTCCTTGTGCTGCTGTCCTGCTGTCTTGTTAACAAGAATCTAAAAAGGGTCAAAGGCACCAGGAAGTCCCTGGCCTGGGCTGGAAAGCAGTCACAGGGCTGCAGAAGAGGAAGGAGGGAGGCACCCAGGCTGGCAGGGCACCACGTATTGAGCCTGCTGAAGAGAAGGTGTTATGAGAGACAAGGATGTAAAAGCACGCAAGTCCATGGCACTGCAACACTCCCACTCAAAAAGCCACGAGGGTCTCTCATGGCATCCCACTCAGCAGACAGACACTGCAGACTTAAGGACACCATTCTGCTTCTTCAGATATGGGGGGCGGAATCTTTGTCAGCCTCCAGCATGTTTCCACCCATCTCTGGGACAGAGTAGATTCCAGAGGAAGCATGGCTCAAGGCACAGGAGAGCAATGTCAAGATGGTTCCAGTCTGACTTCAGTTCTAACCTGCCCACCCGCTCAGGACAGCAGGGTAACAGCACCAGACAAGCACACAAGGACACAGAGTGGGACAGGCACCAGGGGAAACCACGGTGCTGGACATGGGCACCACAAGCATCAGAATCCACCTTCCCCGTACAACTAGGAGTCAGGTTCTGAGACCTCACCAGCTTGGGGGCTTCCATGAGGGTGGGTGCCATGTCACTTGTGTGGCTCTCAAGTGCCTCCCTGACAACAGCTGTGACACACTCACAGCATCCACACACTCCCAGCTCTCAGCATCTTACATTCCTGGCTCAGTCCTCATGACAGTCCCACAAGCTAAGTACCAGTAAGATCTGCACTTTGCAGATGAGGAAACTGAGGCATGGGAAGATGAAGTCACAGAGAAGAAAGGGAAGGGGGGGGAGGGACGAGGGACCAGGGACCAACCCTGGAGTGCTCCCTCTTTCCCCCTCAGCATGGCCCAGTCACCAAGAGGACAGGTCACCCACTCCATTCCCAGGCCCATCTGGGTGAGTGACAGAAGAGCCCACGCTTCCCGGTCCTCGCTCCCACGCCCCAGCCCTTGCAGACAGCCCAGCCCTTGCAAATGTCCCTAGCTAGTGTGGGGAAGCAGCAGAGGAAGATATTCGAGTGTCAAAGTGCCACAGGTTGGGCTGCGTGCACTCACCTGCACGGTGGAGATCTGGACAGGAGGGGCACTTGTGGGGGTGGCAGGGCGTGGCGCCATGGTGGTCTGCGGCTGAGCGTGGGCCTGTGCCTGCATCTGTGCGAGGGCCTGCTGCGGGATCATTAGCAACTGCCCGTTCTCGCTCCGCACGAGGACCATTCCTGGGGGACAAAGGAGACCTAGAGTGAGGGAATGCACCCGCCCAGAGTGCCAAGGCCCTGGTTCTGCCCAGAGACGCTGATGGCTGAAGAAGAAACATGGACACCGTCAATACCCAAATCTTGAACTCGAAACACACTTGCCATAAAGATGGGTCCAGGTGGAAAGCTGTGAAGGCTGTTTTAAAAGGTTATGGAATCAATAGTGCCTGAGGCCTCCTTTTACAAACAAATCAAGCAGGAAGGCCACGGAACGGCCACAGCCATCCACCACACTAGCTGTCCCACGCACCACCTCACACCAGCCCAGGCATCCCACACTTCACAGAGAGAGAAGCCTCCCTACCTCCACTTCCCGCTTGTGTCAGGGCCTTGCCTCCTCTCACGGCCACACAGCCGTGCTGGGTTGCTGCCTAGAGGGCACAATCCCCTCCACAGCCAGCACACCCAGAGTCTCCCCAGCCTGGTGTCTTGGGATGCCCAAACCCACCAGGGGAGAGTGTAGACTATCATATTCCTGGTGGGGATTCGTTTCTTTGGAGGCATGGGAAGGGTGGTCCCTGTGCTGACCTGGGACATCCACAAAACACAGGCATAGAGACAGGAAGCCGCCACAGGCCCTTCGTGGTTCTTGAGCAACATCATGGGAGAGCAATCCTACCAGCTAGGTCTGGCATTAACTTCAGCTTCAAAAAACAGCAACCAGTTAGATCATAAATTCCAATAGAACAGTAGCACAAGTGTCTAACTTTTACATTTAACATCCCACAACATGGGTAGGGATGGAACTGCGGGACCGTGAACACCACTCTCTCTCTGCATGAAGCCCAGCAGGTGACCCAGCCTGACACAGCCCACCTTGAGAGCGAGACTCGTGTGGCCGCCCACGTATGTGTGGGGATACCCACCGCCTTCTGCAGCCTCTCCTTCCTCCCCCTTCCAGGGTGAACTGCAAACAATGCTCTCAGAAGGAAAAAGTAGGGCCACTGACGCCCATGAGTCATCATGACGTGAACACTGGGCTTTCCTCCTCGGCTAGAGAAAGCCAGAGCACCCTCAGAAATTCCAGGAGAGTCTTTGAAGCTGCCAGCTCTGGCCCTTTCAAAACCCATCATGTTACCAGGAATGACGGCGACGCCTTTCTCCGGGCTCAAGTCTAAAATTCTTGATCAAAAAAAGCCACACCGATGCCCATTAAGAAAGCTTCTCTCCAAAACATTCCCTTAAAAATAAACCATACTGAAATCAAACAAAAGCCAAAACCCAGCTGCGGCAAATAACTCACTCTGCTGAAATCCCCCAAGCCCAGCAGCCTGTGAGTGAGGTGATTAAAAAAGGCCCCTAGGGCTCAGTCACCAATTGATGCCCCTGGCTCGGGCAAGGTTTGGACAATGTGAAAGCCACATGGCCAGAGCCAGTGTGAGTCCTGAGAGAGGGTGTGACTGTCCCCCCAAGGACGCACTGAGGTCCCAGAACAGGATACTCAGTGAACACCTCTTGAGATCATGTTCTCAAACCTGCCTGGCCACTGGCTCACCTGCCCAGGACACTCACACCTCCTTAGAGTCTGAGAAGCCATTAAGCAGGCTCCAGGCAGACAGCGTGGAAAGGCAGGACCCAACAGACATGGTGCCTATGGCTTAGGGCACCAATGCCAAGTCTGCTCATCTGGCAATTCATCACCAGACTTTAATTATCAGAAGCATTTTTGCTTTAAAAATTACATCTACAGCAGCAGTCGCTGGGCACTACTAGGGGAAGGAGGGAGAAGGAAGGGGACATGGGACAACACCAAGGTACCTGATCCACTACTGGGGGAGTGAGGACCAGTAAGATGCCCAAACCTCACCTGCATGTAGCCTACTCATGTAGTTAATCCTCACTTATATCCCATATTCCTAGAATTAAAAAAAATTTTTTTAATTACATAAGGCTAAAATTCTAACAAAGTAAAAATGGTACTTTGGACATCACAAAAGCATAAGGAAACAGAAATCACTATGAAATGTGGCTGTATGAAATATGGAAGTGTCCCTGTAGGGGGGACCAGTGTCCCTATGAGAGGGGTGGATAGTGTCCCTGTAAGGGGGCAGTGTCCCTGTGGGGGAGGCAGTATCCCTGGGGGGGACAGCGTACCGGAGGGCGGTGGCCAGTGTCCTTGTGGGGGGTGACCATTGTCCCTGCGGGGTGGGGAGTGGCAAGTGTTCCTGGGGGGGGCAATGTCCCTGTTGGGGAGGAGCACTGTGCCTAGGTTTAGGGCAAAAGTTAGGGAAGCATCAAAAGTCCTGCCAAGAAGTGACTATGTGACATAAGCAGGTAACTTAACCTCTCCAGGCATTAAAAATATCTCCAACTGGGCATATAAATGGAAAAGTGAGGACATGACAGGTGGCCCTGAAATGAAAGCACATGGTCACCAAGCAGCCATCACCTACATCCCCTACCCAATGTGCAAACGCATGGCTGCCTCAGCCCAGCCCAAGCCCATTTCCATCAAGAGGTACAATTGGGCCCGCCCCAGGATTCCTCCTGCCCTCCCTCCCCCCACGCAATGTATCACAACCACTGTTTCTGAAAAAAGGCCAAGGCAGACACCCTGCGACAGGCTGAGGACACTCAAAATGCCACAGCTGCGTCCAACACCACATTTCAGAGATAACAAAAACAATACTGGGTCTCGTGAATTCTGGTTACAGTCACTCCTCCAAGCACACAAATAACCATGCAGCAACCATCCATGCAAAACAACACAACTCTGTCTCAAAGTGTGACTGTGAAGGGCACTAATTTAAGATAAAAGGTCATTAAAAGTAATTAAAGGCCTACATATGCATCGGCCCTCATCACAGTACATTCAGCAGGTGCAGGTTCAGCCATGTGGTCCCCGCCCTGCCTCACAACCTGGACACCAGGATCCACGTAGGGGCAGGGCCACTGAGGGGGGGATCTGTCGGAGATTCCCCCAAGAGACCCACCTACTACCCTGGGCGTGTCCCTTCAAGTGCATGGGGGCCAACGATGATGGAGATGGAGACGGGGTTCCACGAGACACAGGTGCGATGACTCTGCTCACCCAGCTCTCATTGTCAGGGAGAAAAAGGTCACACAGAAAGCAATAAACACAACTTCCCTTCCCAAGACCCTTCTGATTCCTCATCCACCCCAGGTAGCCCATTCCAAGTAATACAGCGCAGGTGGGGCATAGGCCCCAAAGGCAACTAGTAGTGAAGATCAGGACCCAGGACCCTGCCTCCTGACAGCACCATGGCCTGGCCACCTCCCACCCACATCCTCCCTGTCCCCAGGTCCCACAGCCCTGCCTACTGCCCTCTATCCTACCTTCCACCCTCCTGGAGCCCTGCTCCACGACCAGACCAGTGGAAAACCACAGCTAGTCATGCATACAAGAGATGACCACAACACATTGAGAGCCAGCAGACAGAAAACTCCAGAGCCTCCTTCCTCATAACCTGGATGTCTTCTCAGTATAGAAACAGGTGTTCTTTACAGAAAATGTGGCAAACACAGAAAAGGACAAAGACAGCAGAGACCCTCCGCCAGCTCCCTTCTCAGGTGAGCATGGCCAGCATGTCCCTCAGACCTCTCTCTCACAGGCACATGTGAGTGGTAGGTCTGACGAGGGATGACAGGCAAATCAGATCACTGCCGCCCTCCTGCCTGCGTCCCCCCCTTCCCACACCCATGTTCACAGCATCACATGCTCTTCAGAAACACATGTTTCAGAGGCTACATCCAAGTTCATCCAAAATGTGTTCATAATCTCCTCTAGTGATGATTTTGGCTATTTTCTATGCTTCACTATTGTGAAAACATAAGTTTTTTAATTTAAGTAAACAGTGTAAAACACTCTCCCAGTAGTCATAGCCACAGTTTGGAGCCAGGAACAGGGCACAAGCAGCAGGTGGGCAGAAGCCTCCCCAAGGGAGGGAGGCCAGGGTCTCCCCCAGGAGCCTTCCAAGCCCCACCTGCTGAGCTCAGAGTGCAACCACCATTCTCACGCGTGAATGCATCTTGCCCTCCCTACAGCTTGGAGCACAGGGGAAACTCATGTTCTCAACAACATTACAGTCTTTATGATTCCTCTCATCACTGACACTCTTCACTGTATTTTAAACCAAAACATAGAGCACCAAAGCTGCACTACAGACCAAACAGGTATTTCCATCCAGGAACCTCCACATGTAAGAAAACATTTCATGCGGCATCCACATGGTACTCTCGTGCTCTCAGGCACAGCCCTTGGCGGCTCCTCCCTGACCTTCTGATGCCCAGCCCTGGTTCCCTGGCCTGTGGACAGTCCTTCAAATGCTAAGGCTCCCAAGACTAGGAACACAGCCCACCCAGAGGAGTAAGGTCTGGGCTGCGATGACAGTGACCAGAACAGCAGCCTCCACAAGGCTGCCTAAGTGTGTGCCTGTCAACAAGTGCCACTTGGACTACACTGGGAGCCCGTGAGGACAGGAGGACAAGAGCAAAACTCTTCACAATGCAATCTGTGCAGACTGTACCTATCCTCAAAGCACTACATGTGATATTAATGCAGCCAGAATGTGGCAGGAGGGGGCCAAGCCAGCCACATAGCAGCAGGAGAGTTTCCCCTCCAAGAACCCAGACACACCTGTTGGCCCAGGCAGCAGCCTCACCGGAAGTACAAGAGCCTGTGGAAGCAGCCACTGGCCAGGGCTGGCTCAGCAGTCCTTCTCCGCCCACCCCACCTCAATCCCCACCCAGGTCCAGGGGCAGCAGACCCACAACAGAGTCAGGGTGACGCTAACACAGGACACACAGGAGCTGATTTAAATTACAGCCTAAGCATTGACTCTCATGACTGACTCTATGACCTACCTTTCTGCCTTGTAAATTATGAAAAATATACACTTCAGCCTGAAGCGCTGTATATGCAGAGATGCTGGAGGGGTGAGGACGTGTGGAGCTCTCCACCCTTGACCCTCCACACTGTGCGGAGAACAGACACACAGCTG